CATTCTTGTCTTTTGGAACAAGAAAGTTCAGCCTAATACCTGGATTATTTCTGTCTGCTTGGAAATGGAAAGGAATTTGTTTTATATATTTGACCTTTGATAAACTACTATACAGAAAATCCTTTTAATTTTCCTCTCCTTGCTGATGTGTTTTTTGGTCCAGTGTAAATACAGCACCTTTTGGCAGCTCTGAGAAACTTCAACAAGGGACTATGGAAAATTAGTTTGTTCCTAGCATTACTATGCCCTTGTTTAAAAGCCCTGTGTGATCTATCAGAAAAATACATCAAACAAAGAACCTCAATGTTTAAATGATTCACAGCCAGTCTACCAAAAAGCAGTGGATCCTAGATGTTTCAATATATCTTAACACCTTAACATCTAATTTAAATGCCTATTTCATTAATGTCCTAGGTTTAACACATTTCAGCTATTCAACAGAAATATCCTGAACTGCTAAATGAAATGAAACTTCTCAATCCTAATTCCTTACTCATATTTCCCAACTCATGTCCTTCATACCAAATACACAGTGGAAAACCATCAGAGAGGCTTTGGATCAATCCCCGAAGGTCTACAACACTGGAATAAAAACTGGACAAGATTTCTTGGTACCTATTTAAACCCAGAGGTTAGACTCTCTGTTTTGTGGGGAATACTGAATGAAATCTGAATCCCACTGACTTCCATTCACGGCAGACTCCCATTAGAAAGATTCCCATTAGAGAACTCACCACACACACCTGAGTTACACCGTCCTGTTGGCCGTGGCACAAAAGAGAATGCACAGATAAGATGTTTTTCTGCTAACAAGGGAATAAGATCCTGTAACTGCCAAGAGGGCTGCACAAAAAACAGATGGGATTTGGAAGGAAAACAAAAAGCCTCTAACCATTCCTTCAACTGAGAGAAATCTTTATTTCCACAGGGAAGAGTTTACAGGCCTTTCTCAATGATTTTCAGTAAACAAATTTTTAAAGGAATCTATCATGTTGATAACCTCTCTTTTATCTTCTGCCTAGCCCAGAAATACCTTGTGCCAAGTCTCTGAGAACAAAGTTAGCGAGTTCTTCCCCTGCAAGATCATTTTGCTACTTGCTAGTTAGTATTTCCTGAGTATTTGTACTTCAATGAAAAACAATGACTCTCACTAAAGAAACTAGAGGGAAAGGTTAAACAATTCTAAATCATTTTCTTAATTATTGAAAAAACTCTGCTTTTCTTGTTCAGCTTTACTATTCTGCACATCTGTCTTATTATTCAGTAATTAATGCTAAAAATAAAGGTAGCTTTTCAAATACTCAGGAAGTAGGTCCTATGCCAAAAAACACCATTAAAAAGCCATAAATCTGCTGGGTGCAGCTCTGAGATGTAGAAATGTCCAGCTGGAAACTTTCAGATAGCCCAACTACCTCAGTGAGCCTCTAAATAAACCAGTACAGACAAAATTTCTGATACAATCTTGAGTTCAAACAAGTGAAAAAAGCATATCAGCATTGACCATGATTATCTCTCTGATGCTCCTCTTATGCGTTGTATGCTGTCCAGCCTCTGTAGTAAGTAAATCACATAGTTTGATTGTTTTGTATACTAATAACTGATCTAAGTCAAAGCAGAAAAAAAAATGCAGTATATGATTTTGAAATGCAAATACCTAAGTAGCCAGATTGTAATTGTAACACCAACATTTTGGTTTGCTCTGCCTTACCCCGTCAAGTTTCTTTAGTATAATCTGTTCTTTCTTCAGGTTGGGTTTTTTTTTTTTCCTGGTGATTAAAGGTTTTCCATCACACAGAGCTATTCCCTATGCAGCAGCAGACGCTCTGTCTTGCACTATGTGCTCTCTGCAAAGTCACCAGGAGCTGCAGGTCTCTGCACCAATTGGGGATTTATTTTCACTGCCAAACCCCAAAGCTGCTTCTAGGCAGTACAACTCCATTTCTGTGGAGACCCAGACCTGTCATTTTATCATGAGGAATATTTCAGGGAGGTGGACACAGCACTATCCTCTCCCAGCAAAAAGCAACCCCATCACGTGTCCATTAGGGTGTTACACCACAGCAGCTGACACACAGTGTGCCCAGGGTACAGGTAAAGGAGGCAGCTGCCAGGATGCTGTCTGCAGGAAAGGCAGTCTGTTTGCTCTGCATTTGCCAGAAAATGCTGGGATGGACTGTTTCAAAACCACTACAGCCTCCTGCTCTGGGAGAAAATGAAGACATGCAGGGTTGTCAGATGAGGCAGCTCTGTCCTGCTATAGCCACTGCATCCTACCCCAGCCCATGGGACCCTTCTCACTGGAGTCCTCACCAGGGGCCCCAGTGGTGGCCACCAGGTGGTGGGCACAGAGTGCCAGGGGTACACATGGAGAGGATGGATTTACCAGCACACAACACTGGAAAACTGGGTTTGCTCTATAATTTCATCCTTGACACCTGTGCTATAAACCATGTATTTCACTTGTAAGGTAAAAGAGGCCTGAAATCCCAATCACCATGAGCAGCCTGAGCTGGTGGAGTTGCAAGGCCCATTTTGCCAAACCAAGGAGAAGGACAGTCACGTGCAATGTCACTCTGGCCATAGTGGCCCCACAGCACACCCTCAAATCCATGACAATGGTCTGTTCTGAGGCTGAGCAGCACAGCCCAAACTGCTTCCTAGGTGTGCCTGCAGCAGCATTTCAGTCCCACCAACTCTATGGCTTCAGATTCAACTCAGCACAAGGACAAGAAAATCTTGCAATTCAGGCAAGTAGAAAAGTGTCTTTGCTTGAATACAAACAAAACTTAGAACTGTCTGGCCACAAGCTGAGTTTTGGCAATTAATAATTGGGAAAGTGTAGTAAAATGTTTTGAAAGATAAAGTTTCTAGAGATTTTTCCTGTTCTTTCAAAAGTGTCATGTGAAATTGCTCTTGATTCCACTCAGGTCTAAAGACAAGGGAATAGCAAGCACTGCTAAGAAAACTAAAGGACAGCTCATGCACCTATAACAAATTCTCACTGTTAATGGAGATACTCATGAATTTAACCAAAACTTATTTGCATATAATGTCTGTTTCAGGGGTTGTACTGTTCACCATTGTCTCTCTTAATTATTCCTGACATATTACATATTATTTATGACCTTCAGTGACACTGAGAAATTAACTCTCAATCTTCTTTAAAGCATATGTGACAAGAAACAGAATTAAATGCTGGACATTTGTGTTTCTACTGCACTAGAGAAAGCAATGATAGCAACACAGACCTCCTTGGGGAAAAGAAGGCATTTTATTGAGAACACAGTTCACATTTATAGGGTGTTCTGCTGAACTAAGACAAGACAGTAGTTCATTGGATAATTGGGAAAACGCCTCTGGGACAGTACTTCAGGACGGTTCCCATGGTCAATACCAGGTGTTAATCTGTTATTGATTCCATTCTATTTTGACAAAACTATTGTCCTGGGAAAAAACTCCCTGCTTGAGCTGAGCATGTTATCATCTTGGGAAAGGATCTGAGAGAACCAGGAGAGACTTCAGCCTGGAAATTATTTCTCTGGCTGTAATCCTCCTAGGCCTCTAGCAGTGTGTCCACACATTTGTATTACAGCATTCAGGCACCTGAAGTAATCAAGCAGTGCATGCAATGACATGGTGAAAATAATGCTCATATAAATGCCTATGAGGAACGAGGGCATCTGTAGGCAGATGTTTGCTCTCTCCAATGTCTTCTCTAAACTTGGTTGTTCAGGGAAATCCTGAACTTACAAGAAGCTTAACCAGCCAATGCTGATAGAATACCAGTCCCAGCATGGCTTGCATGAGGGACTTACAGAGAGAACAGAAACATTTCTCAGGGAACACTCACCACAGAAATATCTATCAGCCTATCAGGAGGCGTATGAAAGGTGCAGCTGTCCCAAAATAGGAACAAGATGCCAACCCTCATTCATCCTTCCCCCAGTATTGGTCCACACTCCCTGCAGCACAGTGGCTACATACAGCATTTTTTGGCCTGTGAAAGAATTCTGTTAATGCGATCAGTAGCCTCAGATAGGAGCATCCATGATGTACTTTGGAAAGTTAATGAAATCTGCCCAACAGAAAGGCTGAAAACTGTTGTCCTTCAGCTGTGTCTTATTTACTTTCCAGGGCTATTTCCTTTTCAAAACAGTATGTGGGCAGAAAAATAGTTTTCCTTCTTGTAGCAGGCACATGTAAAAACTTACGATTGATCCATGGACAAATTTATAGCAGGGGTTTGGTACCAAAAGAGAGGAACTGAAGATTAACTCTTACTGCCTTCAAATCCATTAAGTTCCTGGCTGCTCCTTCAGGTCTCTAAATCTTGTCATGATCTGTCCCTGAGGCCCAGCCTGGCTTGGGTGCCACTGTCTCTGCAGGGGAAAACAATAATAAAAGTTTGCTACTTAAGCCTAAACATTTTACTAGAGCTTAACATCAGCTGGGAAGCTTTTTTAGAGGTCCATTTTTACGCACAGAGAGCAGTAAAAAGATCAGTCAGAGAGTAGGATCCTAAAATACACTAACTCTTCACGTGCATTTGAAGTTAGACTCTGATCCTTCGTCTTATCTCCCCGTTTTATCTGCAACCTGCAAATCTTTCCACGAGCAGATTCATATGCACATAGATGTCTGTGAAATAGCTGTTCTTCAGAAGAATTTGGATGGAAACAAGGCAATATTATGCACAGATCAGAGTCTGAGTTCCTATTATCACTAAGTAGGAAACTGCAGACAGAGACACACACAGATGCAGCTACTCCATCACAGTGAGGGTGCTGCAGGGCCAGAGTTACACCACCACGACAGAGAGAGTGCCCACAATGGGTACCTCGTGCTCTGCATCGTGGGGTGGCTGGAGCAGGTTGGAGAGGGGTACAACATAAATACAACCACTACATCTGTTCTGATAGAACAGCTGCCACAGAGGAGCAGCTTTTTCATAAACATCACAGCACAGTCTCATTAAAAATTCACCTTTTCTTAAAAAATACTTTCTTTTTTAATGCCAGTCATGCTGAAGATCTTGCAGTCAGAGCAGTCTAGTGGCCTACTAGCAGTGTTATTAAAAGTCTAAGAATATCCTTTATTCATCAATTTACAGTTGTCTTAAACAGGTTTCTGCAAATAACCTGATATACTAATAAATAATTTTTAAAGAGGTTATAAGGACCCTCCATAACCACCCTCCTATTAACATTTATCTTTTTCATCTGGTTCTACATCTGCACTATTAAGGAGACAATTACTTACCTACCTTTCCAATGCATTATTACCAAATTACCAAATGCAAACCACCACACAACCTTCAGGTAGGAGATGGCAGCAAACATCTCCAAAATACAAGCAATGGGCAAAAAACAAGCAGAGATTTTAGCAGTTTTAATTTATTGACTAGCAGGGAATGATCTCATGGGTGTCTGATGGCAGATGAAAAAGCTGCTCCAATTCATTGGTATAAGTGTCAGCACTGAACCCAAGCAAAGCAGAAAATGTGACACCTTTCAACCAAACTTAATGGGAAAATAAATGGGTTGAAAAATAATTGCAGTCAGGTCTACAATTGAAATGTTGAGGTGCTTAGAAAAACTTACTTATTGTGATAACAAAATAACTTATATGAACCAATAAGTCACTAAAGTTGTCACTGCTTAGGAAATAATTTAAAAATACAGAGCTTTACAGTTGTTTGGAAGTATGTAATGGATTTTTTTTAATATACAAGACAGCCAGTACTTTGTGTAGACTCAGAGCAATTTCACATTTGCTTCTGACTCATTGTCCTAAATAAATATCTTGTGCTGTTTATTTATCTAATGAGGAAGAGTGTGCATATAAAAGACCAAATTTCACTTCAACAAATGAGCAAGTCTTTTCTCTCTCCCAGTTTGAATGAAAATTTTCGTCTGAATTTTGTCAAATCATAACACGATTATGTTAAATCATTAACAACATACCTGAAAATGAAATAATTTCTTCCCCTCTGCAGAAGATTTTGGCACAGAGAAGTTTCTTCAAATCAGGAGGGACACAACAAGCAATAAAGCTAGAACACACATTAAATTAGTCATGTCTAATCCCTCATCCTTATCACAGAAGCAGCTGGATCATAGTAATTCCTGACTCAACTTTGCCAAAATTTTATCCTAAAAAATCCTCAGCATGTAGACTTTTACCTAGGGAACCTGTTCCAGTGATGTGCCAATAAGTTTACCCCAGGTCGCCCAATTCAAATACTTGGAAGTCTTGTGTCAGGTTTTAAGATGACTTTCCTTGAGTTCTTATACTTTCCAACTTAGTTTTTGAACCTTGAAAGTTTGCATTACCCAGCCTCTGTGAAATATGGTTGGTTTTTTTTTTTTCAAAACTGATAGCTTTCCATAATCATTTGAGTCTAGACACTGAAACTTGGGAAGCAAAAATATGTACTTCTTCCAAGTGCTGACAGTATTAATTTTATTTCTTGCAACCAGGGTGGAGAGAATAATAGTCCATTGTCCTTTGACCTCTCAGGGCTTAAAAGCTCCCAGAAATCCTGCCTTTTGCACCACAGTCATCTGGGCTTTGCTGGAGGCCAAGGGAAGGTGCCTCTAGGTACCCTGTGCCCCTCATCTCATGCCCTATGGCCCCCAGCCCTTGTTACCATCATCCCCTTGGCTCCAAGGGACCACACTGCAGCTCTTCTGCTCTTCTCTCTCCCTCCTGTCCTGTCACTTCCTCTAAGCACGTTGATCCAGAAAGTATTTGTCTGGTCCTTTGCTCCATCTGCTGCTTAAACATTAAATGTGAAAGAAGGCAGAGCCCCTAGATGACAGCAGAAATGCTGTTTAGGGTATGATACTACTGAAATTCACTTGCCTTATCAATTTGCAATAAAAGCAAGGCACATTGCAGGGTATTGCAGGTACCGGAGATTTAACTTCCTTACATTTGGACAAAGAAAAATAAAATAAAATAAAATAAAATAAAATAAAATAAAATAAAATAAAATAAAATAAAATAAAATAAAATAAAATAAAATAAAATTCCTTTTACCACCTCCCAATTTGCCAGAAATTCTTTAATTCTGTGCTAGACTACATGTTATAGATTTACATTTATGGAGATATTTTTTCCTCTGCTTTGGATATATTTATTTTCTTCATTGATTCAAGAAATGAAATGAGAGCAAAAGTACAGAAGAGATTTGCCTTTTTCTTTCCAGAATACAACTACAGCACCCATTGATTACTAGACTTTTGGTTCAAGGTTGGTTGTGCAAACCAACTTTATTTCTCCTAAGAAAATCTAGGGACATTGCTCTGGTATTTAGAGAAAGAAGGAGCTCTGTGCATGTACCACTTTTTTGTTTAACAGGGTCCCAGAACACAGATGAATTTTAGCACTTATGGGCAGATGAATTTTAGTGGGTTTGGATACATATGCTTCCTCTGCATGAAAGTTGGTAAAAATGTAGTCACAGCCTCATTCATCACTGGCCTGATCCAACTTACACTGAAATCTGTGGGCACATTGCCACCAAACTGGACCCATGCACCCAACAATTCTCCTCTGACCAGGCTAAAAATAACAGAGGTCTTGTATGAAGCTGGATATAAAGGGATACCAGATAATGAATCACTGTAATAAATAATATCAAGAGAAGAAAATGGAGATTCAAGTCAAGCTCTACATTTATAAACTCTAGAGGTAAAAGATCTAGCAGCTGAGAAGAAACAAATGGTATGATTCACTGGTTTGTTCTATTTGCAGATCAACTCTGCAATTGCAGATCCAGTTAATAATCATGCAGGAATCCTTAGCTGTAAGCACAAGGAGAACAATAAAACAGCAAAAATCCAATGTTACAATGTACAATGGAAGATGGAAGTTGATGCAGCAAGGCTTTGCCTTCCTCCTTCCTTTGGAAATACTGTCAAAGTGGAATAATGACTCAGAAAATAAAGAATATGTAACTAAAATTATATTAGAATAAGCAAGAAGGGGAAAACCATGAGTTTGCTACCAATCTCTCATCCTAATTGCTAATTTTGATAGCTTTGCTCTCCTTAGCAGATAACATACAGAAGGGGGAGAAATATTTTATTCAGTGCTCAATAACTGCACTGCAGCTTAGTACTGACATGGCACTCTAGACAAAAGCTTTTTAATGTGCTATCAAACAGCTGAACTTCTGGTCCTGCCTGGTCTACAAAAACAAGTGAGATGCCCCTTCTCCCAGTCAGAAGACACATTAGTTACTGTTGCTGCTGTCAAGCCTGAGTTATAATGATAGCATTACTGCTCATACAGCCTGCAGGCAAACCAAACAGCATCAGACAGCAAGGCTGCCAGGAAGGTGCAGCCACCACCTCATCTGCCTAGTGAGAGGAATAATATTTTTTGCAACAGATATTTCCCAAAGAGCTGTGATCCTTGCAAACTACTCTGAGAAATACCCGTGCCTTTCTGACCAGCCTCCTTTTCATTCTATAGATACCATAAATCAATCTTCACATCTACAGCTGATAACACTATTTTTCCTTATTAAGTTGAGGCTCTTTCTGTCATACTCAGCCCCTAGCAGACCATCCTCCTGGTGCTGTATTTGGATACAGGTTTTGTGCAAGGTTTCTGACCTCCTCATGCTCCAATACAGCTCTGATTATATGGCTGTAATGTGGGAGGGCTGCAATGTAGAAATAAGCCTATGGCACAAAACAGTGACCTTTCAACCTAAATAAAGGTAGGGTTATGTCCAATAGGATTATTATCCTGCCATGCATCTATCATTGCAAATAGTTTCATTTAAAGAGAGCTAATTTTAAATTTTCACTTGAGAAGATAAAGAGCTGGACACTGCACGTTTCAATAGGAATCAAGCAAATGCCATTTTATTATTCTCTTCTAACAATACAATTTCTCTACCCCTACACCCTATCATACAACTTATCACTGATAGAAGCCTTCTTGCATGAGGCAAACGTGGACTTTTCTCCTTTTCATTGGCTTCAGAGTTTCTTGGCATTCACCAATCACCTTCAGCTCTTCTTGTCTCACCCCTTGTTTTCTCATTAAGCTGCAGCTGTTCTTACCTCTCTTTTGTGGGAGGATGGTTTGTAAGGATAGTGCTGAAGGCAATATCCTTCAATGAATTACAGCTGTACTGATTACTGAGGAGTGAAAACAGCCTTGCCTGTCCAATGAGGATGAGTGTTATAAAAAAGTGGGTTAGCTAGTTATCAGAGGGTTGGAGTCTGCTGGCTGTGTTGTGAGGATGAAGGGACATGTGGTCATGCAAGGGACAGACAGGGCTAGGTGACCAGGTAAGGGACAGGATGGCGTTAGCTGGTCATGAAAAAGAAACTTGCAGAGAGAACAGGAAAAGGAGTCAGTGCTTCATGGAGCTGCCTGTGGGAGAAGGAGACACTATTGTGTGGACCTGCCTGTGAGAAGTCCACAGAGAGAAGGCATGAGAAGTTTTTAAGATAATAAGGGACTGATGATGGTGTCAGTTGTTTGACACTCTTTCAGGGTGACTTCAAGGGCAAAGCTACAGGCCTAGCTCAGGCTCATAGAAGCATTCATATTCCTTTCATATCTTGTCCATTTTCCTCTAAAAACATTCCCACATTCACCTGCTTCCCAACACTTGAAACTTCTCCCAGCATTTCCAATTCTGCCAGACGTCCGAACTCTTGTCAGTGTGCTTCAATTCCTTTTCCCACTGCCAGGCAATACACTCACATTGTTTGTTTGCTGACAAACTGGAGCTTGCCCTGGGGTTTCCCTGCCCCTAGCAAACAGCTGTACGGGCTCTGTCTCACCATCCACGAGCCAGTAGGTGTGGAACAGACAGGGACCAGCTCACATCTCAACATCACACCGAGCTGCTGCTGCTGCTACAGCAATAACTCCTTGTCAGAGCATCTCTCCTACCAAAGCTCATTAGGGAGAAATAAGCAAGGAGTGCTGGGGAAGGATCTTGTCATCATCAATAATGTCAGACCCTTTTCTGCCTTGCCTTTCCATGTTAAAATTTTCAGAAGAAAGTGGAGGAAGCAACACTTGACAAGTCCTAAAATACCTTTGACACCCTGATCAAACTTGGTACCTACAACTTTATGTCTGGAGTAAATGATCTTTGGAGCTCGTGTACATGTCATGTATTAGCATACGTAGTTCTTTTTATATCTATTTGATATATATTATTCTGTTTAGCTGCATACGGATATTTTTTTATACTGTATATTTTACCTATTCCTTGTCCTATTCTGATATCCAAAGGGATTCTCAGGCAAATTCCCATTAGGCTGGCCTCAAGGATCAGAGTTTTCTAACTGGACAGGGTCACAGCAGTTGCTCTGAGCAGCTCATCAAAAAAATAGGTGACTCCTGCTAGCCAGCCACACAGACTGACTATTTTCCCTTTCCCCTTCTGGCAGATAAATTATACAACATATAACATGAAAATTTTCCTTTAAATTAATTAACAGTTTATCCACACACTACGACAAGCTGTTATATTTGGATACCTTTCTCTCATAAGCCTCAGGCTGACTTCTCTCTCTTAAAAATAGTTTCCCAGTGGATACCAACATGGTTGTGGTGGTGTCTAATCTTCTCCCAAACACAGTTCCCTGTGTTTTATCCCCAGTTCACATCTCCAGTGCAGTATAAGAAGTACCAAGTTCCTGAAAGATCCCAGAAGACTCCTACCTTTGAGATTTTTACCCCAGACTCCCTGTGAGCCACATTAACTTCCTTGCATTTCAAATTACATCTGTCTGACCCCACAATCTCACTGAATGCAGCAGTGTGGTGATTGAAGCATGCACTGCCCCAGCTGCAAACACCTGGCTGGGAACCTGCCTGCACCAGCCTGCAGCAGGTTTCTGATGGACTACATGAAGGAAGTTCTGCAATAAAAACACTGATAGCAAACCCTGCCTCACGGGTGCTAGCAGTTCTAGCAGGTGCCACAGGTAGCCTCAGGTTTAACAACCTTGTTTCCCTCTCTAGGATGCCTGTACTCACCCTGACAAGCTGCTCTGCATCCCACTGCACATTATAAACAGACTTTGTATCGTGCAGAACATAAGAGAGAAGGTTTGCTGTCAATCTCCCATTATTTTTGCTGCAGATGTAAGGGAAGGTGGCCTGGATTATTTAATGAGCACATCCAGCAGTGTCAAAAGGTGCCAGCCCTGCAGCCCCTGTCTCTCCACAGCAGCCTAGGCAAGTGGGGCACTGGAGAAGGTGCCTGCTCTCACAGACTCTGGAAGAGCTGCAACTACTGCTTTTCTGGTACTTTCAGTGACCTGACCTAGACAAAGTTTCACTAAGTTGCTTCAGGGTGTGCATTTCCTCATCTTTGTCGCTGGAGCTATCAAAACCTGCTGCACAGCGTTTTCCCTTGATGAAATTAATTGCCCACAGGGAACTCATCTGAAATTTTCTCCCAGACCCAAAAGAGCATCTAGCACCATAGCTAGATTTAATTCAAAACTCAAGAACTTCCTATGGCATAATTTGGGGGCTGGCAGCCCTTGCTCCTTCCCACACCCTCCTCCACCAGCTGTCTCACCTTTGCTTGTTCTTTAACTACCAAGAATCCATAATTTCTGATACTAGCTGTCCGAAGTCTCACATATAATCATCTCCCTATCTTCCTTATATTACAAAACAAATTAGAGATATTGAAGTGTGTTAATCCTGTAATTATCATGGTTATAATGAGGCAGTTTAATGATCTTGCTAATTGTCTGTTCAGCAAGACTGGATTGGAAAACATTCCTTACCCCATCCACTCTTTTAATTCTGCTTAGATCAGATGTTTCCTTTAAGTGAAGAGTTGTAGCTATGTTTATCACTACCCCAACACCCCCAATACCAAATTAATGTTTAAAAATTGCTTCAGGTCTAACCAAAGGCCAAGTACTATATTGTAAGCAATGTCTATGTGGCCACAGTCAGTAGCTATTCAGCTATATATTAATTCAGGCAAGATTGCCAGAGGAAGCAAAAAGAGAAATAAAACATCTCTGTGAGGACTAAAATTTTGCTTATGCATTGCCTGTTAAATGTTTTAAAATTATCAGCTGAAATAAGCTGCCTGAAAGTTGTTTCTGCCTAATCAACTGCTTTCTTGTTTATTCTGCTGCAACAATCCACCCTCAGCCTGTGGCTGTGGCTAGATACAGGTGCTGTCCCAGAAATCACCTGCAATGCCCCAGGAAACTTCATTCTCTAACTCTTGCACACCTTGGGAACAACTCGGGACCCCCTACCTGGGTCAGCACAGACATTAAAAATCATCTTTACAAAAGAAAACTATCAAGAATGGGTACGCAAGTAAATGTTCACTACTGCAAGAAAACACATGCTTCCAGTACATCAGCTTCTCTGCAGGAGTTGTCATGCATATGCTAATCCTGAAGTAAACTGCAAGTAATTCCAAGCAATAAAGCAGTAATTTACCCTATGTTTACTGTAAGCAGCTGATATAGCCCCGCTTTCCCTGCTATGCCTTGTTCAAAACCCCACATCTCATCCTTCCAGCTGTCTCGGCTGTAAAAAAGGTGAGCTAAGTGTTCCTGTAATAGGTAAAATTTACCAAGCATCTCAGTGTAGAATTCCCATTTTGAGGCTGACACCTATGTTTCCCCAGCAAATGATTGCAGGAGAACTTAAAAAGAATGAAGAGTCTATCCATTTAGCCAAACACACACCTCTCAGTAACAGAGGTAACTGGAGAACTTCTTCCAAGTACCAACCACCTCTCTGAGATCTCTGCCTTACCTGCTGCTACAAAACAAAGGTAACTTGTCATCAAGCCTGGTAATAACAGTGCTGTGAGCAGCCACCCCAAACTCAGAGGTCAGATTTAAACTGATATTAAGCCAGCAAAACTCCCCCAGTCAGAAAATACAGTAATTTACAGGCAGTTAGGGACCCAACCTTTGTACCCAGCAATCTTTGCACCACATTGCACAGGCAAACATCCCAGAACGCCTAGGCCAAGCTTCCCAAAGCAGCAGAGAACAGACAAAAATCAGGAGTTATCTCTTACTGCAGCCAGATCTTAATGCTCAGCACCTACCAGATTTTGTTTCTAGTACATTTGACACACTAGAGAAATAATGAATAGTAATTTGAATTAATCGTTGCAAGTTCCATTGCAATTAACAGCAGTGGTTAGCATGCCAATTATTTATGAATACAGAAGTAACATATGGATCAGCCCAAAGATTTAACTAACCAACTGTCCCGTTTCCAACAACTGTCAGCAGCAAATGCTTGGAAATGCATTTGCAAGGGCGAAGTAGGCATCAAGCAAAGCTTTCCCTGAACATTCTTCCAATGGCTCACAGCTGAGAAATTTCCTGAGCCAAAGACTCCTGCCAGGGCTATGCACCTGAGCAGCTGGCACCCAGCAGCACCCACGAACTCCTTTTGCTCTGCAGAACATCTCTGCCTGTGCCTCAAAGGCCAAGTCCCAGAGAATACAGGCAAGTTCTGCATGTAGCACTATTTCTTTGCTTACTTGAGACAATTCTCTTAGCATCACTGCATGAGCTCATGGTATCATAGGACTAGAGTAATGGGAGAAATCTTGTCCAGACAGCAGGAGATCTTAGCTGAGTATTCACGGAGTCCTCATGGAGGCATGAGTGAATCTCTAATATTCCTCTTTATTGTATCAAAGCATACATATTTTATAGGGTTTGTTACAGTGATCACGCGAATCTAGCAAGCATACAATTGGTTATTAAGCACTGTCTACATATTACTTGTTACTTCTTGATTGGTTTCACACGCTTTTATGGCATCTTCCCCACCCCTTGGCTCAAGCAGTCTAGCAGCCTAGTCTAGTCACGTCTGCTCTACCTATTTGCTACTTTGCTGTACTTTCCCTGCACGTCTATTTACTTATTTGCTACTTTAATGTACCTTCCCATCTGCTTACTGTTGTTACTTTACTGTACTTTCTCATGCAGCCTATTCAGGGGTAGCTCAGTGTCATCATTCTCCCAGCCATATACAGAGTTGTGCATAAGAGCCTCAGGGAAGATATTATGTCCCTTTTCTGCCATAATTTCATCTACACTAGAGCACTCCTTTAGCCAAGTGCTGAGTGTTACTTTGCTAAGAAAAGGGCTCACAAGTGAGACAACAGCAGGTAATGCATCTTCTATAGTCTAATGATTTCCCATAGCTTTTAAAAATACTGTCACTGCAGCATTTGCCATATAACCAAAGGATGCAATCAGGAGATGGTTTGTAGATAAACATTAGATTTCATTAAAACCAACCAGCAGACATTAAAAATGAAAACAAGACAAGCTTATCAAGACATAAATCCTCAGTTCAATCAGCTCTCCTATTAAACTGTATCATCTCTTCCCAGAGATTTGCCTTGACTGAGCAGTGCTAGGTGCAGGAACAACAGGGAGCAGGTCAGTTTAGTGCCATTGCTCCTGCTCCCCACTCTGCAGCAGCCACGGAAATGATGGGCCTCAAGCAAGACCTGGGAATTAAAGTTCATTTACCAGCAATGGGAAAAATATTCCCTTGGTGGGAAAAGGACGGGTGAAGTTACAG